AGGACTCTCCGTGGCGGTCTCGTACTCACTGGCAGGTTGATCAAGTTTTACTATTAACGCTTGAAGTGCATAAAGTGCTTGTAGTTCTCTCTCTACATTGGAGTCCATGTACTTCACTAAGACCGGAACCTTCTGCTTCAGAAAGGAAGTGTCCACGCGGCAGGAAGAACAATCCCCTGGAGAAGAAAGAGGACCTGTCACAGATGTGTCCACGTTTCCCACGGGTGGAGCACGGCTGGTCACGGACACTCACCTACAATTGCCGCTTTGCACACGGCGGTCATTAAAGCTCGGAGGAATGTCGGAGACGTCATCTGCCCCTCGTCTAGATTAGCCTGGGACACGGAAGACGGGTCAGCGCGCCACGTGACACACACAGCGCGCCACAGTCATGTGACACACAGCGCCCCACAGTCACGTGACACACACACAGCGCCCCACAGTCACGTGACACACACACACACACAGCGCGCCACAGTCATGTGACACACAGCGCCCCACAGTCACGTGACACACACACAGCGCCCCACAGTCACGTGACACACACACACACACAGCGCGCCACAGTCACGTGACACACACACACAGCGCGCCACAGTCACGTGACACACACACAGCGCCCCACAGTCACGTGACACACACACACAGCTCTGAGATTGGGGGGCCCCGGAGTATAGGAGCTCTGAGAATTGGGGGGCCCCCGTGAGTATAGGAGCTCTGAGAATTGGGGGGCCCCCGAGTATAGGAGCTCTGAGAATTGGGGGGCCCCCGTGTATAGGAGCTCTGAGAATTGGGGGGCCCCCGAGTATAGGAGCTCTGAGAATTGGGGGGCCCCCGAGTATAGCCGGCCAGTGTGGGAACGGGGGCTGTACTCACCTCCACCCAGTCGAATGTATGTTCGTCACTTGCGGTCTCCTCGATGATGAGCTCCTCCAGACGCGTGTTGAGCTCCTCGGCCGTCATCTCCTTCCTCTCCGGGGGGCTGAAGCAGTCTGACAACGTGAAGTCCAGATTCTGGGGACACAACCACGGGATGTGAGGTGGAACTCCAGAGCGGAGCAGGGAGAACAGAGGACAGGACGACACAGGCGGCTCGCTCACCTTTTCACTCACAAAACTCTGCACGTCGTCCCCGTCCGGTATGAGATCCGCCCAGCGCAGCCCCGTGTCCCTCCACAGCGCCGCCACTTTCTTATGGCTCTGAAACATGACAGGGACACGTGAGGAGACAACATACATGTCCCGTGTGTGACAACGCTCCATGACAGGAACACGTGACGTACAGGAGGAGACAACGTTCCATGACAGGAACACGTGACGTACAGGAGGAGACAACATACATGTCCCGCGTGTGACAACGCTCTATGACAGAGACACGTGACGTACAGGAGGAGACAACATACATGTCCCGCGTGTGACAAAGCTCTATGACAGAGACACGTGACGTACAGGAGGAGACAACATACATGTCCCGTGTGTGACATACCATTTGCTTGCATAGAAGGTGCAGTATTTCGGCCAGTAGGACGCCCCCTCCGCGGCCCACGGGGAGCAGAACTTTGTTGAACTCTCTGAAAGGAAAAGCCAAGAATGAGACGGGTTGTTCCTGGAGCCGATACAACAAGTCACATGACCTGCGGCACCGACTATGGAAGTCACATGACCTGCGGCACCGACTATGGAAGTCACATGACTTGCGGCACCGACTATGGAAGTCACATGACTTGTGGCACCGACTATGGAAGTCACATGACTTGTGGCACCGACTATGGAAGTCACATGACTTGTGGCACCGACTATGGAAGTCACATGAC